GGGTTCTGGGGGGGTTGGCAATCTGAGCACCTCTCTGTTCCTGCCAACCTCCCCAAACCCCCATGTGGGCCCAACTGCCTCCCCCCACCAATCCCATCTGCCCCTACCCTGATTTTTTTTTAGTTTGGGCTCCTAGCACCTAATTACTAAGTTAGATTGGGGGACCATTTTTAACCCAATCTAATCCACCCAAATTTCTATTTGTAATGTCTGTACACAGCCCAAATATGTATTTTTGCTGAAAGAGGTTTAGTGTAAAAATGTTACTCAAATCTGCTTTTCCTGGGGCTTATATAATCAGGGTTCAAAAAGGGCTGGCATATTATAGCAGTGTAGCATAATTATGGATTTTCCTCTGAGTGCATATCTTTACTTCCTACTTCTTCTCATAACCTAATCAAGTACCTATGTGTATTAGCAAAAAAGCAGCCACGGTGAGGCATGTACTATTGGCTCCTCATTAGAGTTGCTCAGCTGAACTCTGTTCTCTGCTACTACTCTGTATCATCTTACTTTTTTGCCATAGAAACAAGAGCCCCAGTTTTGTTTCTGCTATTAAAGACCTAGTGGTGTCTTCCAGATGGGATGCATCAAAGGATACCTGGATACGCATTCCTGCTTCATATTCCAATCCTGGAAATGCACCACTGTAGTGTCACAATGGGATGTCCAGTGGCCAACTTCATGTATGTCAGAGACTGAGGTCTTGATGGTGGCTACAAAGAGGAGTGACCCAGAGCACCTTCACCAGCATATTGCTAGGTTTGCAGTATGAGCTGGTAGGTGGGGCATTCTTAGAGCTGACCCACTGGTAGTGCACACATATCATAAATGGATGCACCCAGGATTTGGGGGTTGAGAGTAATATGAGGGAAAAAAAGAATTGGAAAGGAATAATAGAAATAAAATGGGATCACAAAAAACAGATAAAGCAGGAGAAGCAAAATGGTGCAGAGCAGTTGAATTTAGTGGCACAAGCCAGAGTTGTCAGATTTTCAGAGAATTGGGAATTTCTCCATTGTTGGGGCCTCTTTCAATTTCTGGCTTAGAAAACTAGGCTTTTCTATTGTTTTTGTAGCCTTGGCAGAAAACCTTTTGTTTCAAAAGATTCCTTGGCTGCCAGCGCACTTGATCCTCACCTCTAGCCACAAGACACTGCTGCTATGTCCCCCAAATGTAGGTGGGCTTGGAAGAGACATCATTCATTCTTGGTGTCAGACTGTGGGAGTTGGAGCTTAAGTCCACTCTAAAGCTATAAAAGTTGTGGTTGAAAAATGAAGGTTGAGATAGCAGGAGAAGAATTATGGATATGAGCCCCATCTACTCTAAAAATGTACTTAGAACATTTACCCCCATTGTGTCTAGTATGCTGGAGATTGTGTCTTGAACATCACTGTAGAAATCACTGTTAAGCCCAAGTTCCTCTATCCCCAGAGGAGTGCCAAGACAGTCAGCCCTCCACATGATTAACATAGCAACACTTCCAGGAAATATGCTTTTAGCACAGTAGTTGTGTCAAAACAGTATTATTCATTCACTGCTTGTTTTGTAGGTAAAATTGCTATGTTAACAAAAATGACTTCTCAATTGGCCAATTAAATATTCAGAGATTTTTTTAAGAAGAATTAATGCCTCAACAGTTCAGGCTATTAAGAAATAATATGGATGCAATTCACTTCAATAGTGTTATTTCCACAACAAGAATAATAAATAGAACATGATGTTAGAGTCTTAATGTTCACTTAAGAATAGGAATCAACAATTTAGGTTGCTGGTGTTTCTTGCTAGTGGCTATAAGTGAGAAATTGTTCTGAAGAATCTAAACATAAAAGGATTTAAGTCTGTTTACTAACAGGGTAGCTCTATTCTCTTCAGTAGAGTTACTCACTTAAAGCATCATAAGTTAGTTTCTGTAAGTGAAATAAGCTTAATTAATTTATTATTTATCTTAACAAGCAAAATTGTGTCCCCCAGTTCTTTCAATTCATTCCTTGCCTGAATCTGGGCTTGATAGTTTTCTTCTTGTTCTCCATGAAGGCATCTGTGTTCTCCAAAAATAATCCAGTTATTTCCCCATCAGACTTGATTTCCTTTACTTGCCTTGCTGACTGCAGAGTTCTATTAATAAACAATATAGTAAAAAAAAAAGTCTTTGCTGAAGCTGCAATAAATATGTCTTCATAGTGAACCTCTTGGCTGGGATAAAAAGGTCCAGTATCATTAGCTTCATTTGCCATGTATTAAAGACTAACCGACCAGTTTACATTTTTGCTCTGTGTAACATACAATAAGAATAGTCATGTTTTCCTGTAAATCAACTGTACTAGATAGAGATTTTTTTCCTTGTATTGAGACAGACAGTGGTAGAAGTAATCTTCTGGGTCACAGTTTTACCTGATCATAGTTGCAGATATTCAAACATAATTTTGACTCCTTTATTTTCTCACTCCATGTACAGAAATTGTATTGACTCCATGGGATGCTGTATGTATTGACAGCATACAGAATTTTGAAACTAAAATTCATGATGCAGATTTGAGAAGTGGGCCTTTTCCTTTTTGTCATTAGTATATTCTTACATTTTACATGTTGCCTTGGTAGTTGCCTCAGTGCCTTAGTCAATGATCTGTGGTGAGCTCTGTAATAGGTATGTTATCATGCCAGTTATAAGGAGTACAAATCTCCGCAAAAATATTACAACTGCTTCACTGCTGCAAAATAGAGGGCATTCAATGTGTTATAAATGCCCAACAAATTATCCAGTGGAACAACCAGCAAAAATGTAGCTAAAAAATCTATCAAAAAAGGAACTTCTAAACAGATGTCATTCAAAAACTTGGACATAACTGTCCTTACCATAGAAGTGAAGCTGCAAGAAAATGCCAAATAAAGTATCAGATAGTAATTTCAGTGATCTAGTTTTGAATCTCATAGATACTGTGGGTTGTTAACTAACCAAATTATATTCAAGTAATTCAGCACCTGCTTAATCAAGCTACAAAATATGGAATTAGATATAGGCCACTTCAACTTCAGTGATTTTTTTATGTAGTAGAGAGATTGGTGCATATACATTAATCCTGTGAAATTAAATCAAGAAAATTAGCTGAAGATATTCCTAGGGGTCTGTTTGGTGTCTATTTGCATAAAACGCTGAGCTGCCTACCTACTAAAAAGATTCTTTTTTCAGTGAGAGGTTGGGTAGGAAGGAAGATATGAGCTATGTGAGGATAATTGTAAAGAAGCCATTCTAAATGTAGTCTGATTAAATGGAAGCCCTACGTGGGGTTTACATTTATTCAGATTTGCAGGTAAATTGCTTTTAGTTAAGATAGTACTGATAAGAAAGTACTGCAAATCACAGTGAAGAGTGAGAGTTTAAAGGCTATGTCTAAATATGACTGGATAAATTAAGGGTTCCTGTACACAAGCAGAGAGGCTGCTCTAATGCACTGGAATTCCAGCGTGTCAGAGCAGACTCGATTAATCAAAAGTCTGCCAGAGAATGGCAATTGCTGTGCTCCAGCAGTCTCCTTTGTCTTGTGTATCACTGTCCCCGTGCTCAAACATGGTGGTGAGGGCAACTGAACTAAAGCTCAAATGAGCTTCAGTTCAAGTGCCCTCGCCACCATTATTAAGTGCAGGGACGCTGATACGTGAGATGGTGGGACCCCCCCGCCTCCCCACTGGAGCATGTGTAGAAGTGCCCCAAGTGCCCAAATTTTGTGTATAGGCAAGTAGACAACAACATTAAAATATCTGGTATCCAGATATAGAGTTTAAATACCTAGTCTCAGTTAACCATATTTGAAAACTAGACTCATTATTTCAGACAGAGGCATTTTTGAAATTGCATTGCATAACCGGAAAACAGTATTCTATTCGCAATATGATGTGCAACATAATATGGGGAAATTCTGAAGTCTGCAGTATCTGCAGAACATTCAGATTTAAAGACATGCATGTTATCTGTATTGAATGGGATATGCTTTGCCACTGCAGGAAAATTTCATAGATTAAAAGCTTCCCTATTTTGCATTGAGACAAAGCTGAAACCTTTCTTGATTTTTCGCAGAAGAACACAGAGTCAGCCTGCCCATCTGAGCCAATTGCTTGACAGGGCATTTACCTGGGACATGGGATACCCAGGGTCAAGTCCTAGACTAATGGTCAAGTTACATGTTATACTTAGACCATATGGAATCCGTGGAATGTTAAGCAGCAGTAAAGTTGGGACATGCTGTGAGCAGTTGCCAGCCCTATAATCGCAAGTCAGAACAGTATAGGAAAGAAACAGTATTAACCCTTATCTTACAAGCAGGGGTGTGGCTGGAAGCCCTCCTCGGGGGAGGAGGAGAGCCCCGGAGCCATAAATCCTGGGATGCTTGAGGACTGTATATTGCTAATTTATCTCCATAGAGCAGACTGAAGTTACCCTAATGCAAGCTAAAGTAGCATGGCCTAGAGTTAACCCTTGCCCAAAGTGGTGTGACTTTGAGATGCTCACGGGGCACTTAGCACGAGTTAATGAGCCTTAACATGCCCACACTCATGTTTAACATGTCCATTGTGTGGTCTAAGTGAAATGTGTAACTTCACCCTAAATTGGGCAACCAAGGAATTTGAAGCTAGGCCTTTCACATCAAAGGTGAGTGAGTGCCCTAACTACTGGGGATGAGGCATACTGCTTTCATTTTCACTAGAAATTCAATTCTGGTCCTAAGTCCAAAATTTTGTCAAAACTGGTATGTTCCCATAAAGTTTTGAGTTAAAAAAGTCCAACATTTTTCCAAAGAAAGATTACTTTGTTGTAAAATTCCCAACTAGTCCTGGTATTGCAAGGTGTATTTCCTTTTTCCTTTTATGATGTTTGTAGTTCACATTGAAAGATTCTAAATTCTTTGCTTTGTATTCCCTTCTTCCTATTAAAAAATGTCATATTCTGTATATTTAAAGACCCCTCTGTTTTATTACCTCTGTGGTTTATATTATTGCTGCAGGTTTCTCTTGGACTCTTACATGCTCGTGCTACTCATATCCTCTGGCCTCCAAGACGCTGGCAGAAATTACAGCCCGTGCTGCCTCCAGAACGCACACCACTTCTGACAGAGCAAGAATGACCTATGTGTTAATGATGGGGAAAAATATTATTGGGAGTGAGGCTCTGATGGTGTAACACTATAAATAAGAGCTATACCAAATGTACTTACATACTGTGTAACAGCAGAGAGTGTTGCAGCAGAAACATGAAACAACACCCTTAAGTGTCATCTTAAATGCAAAACCCTTTTTTTTAATCTTATACATTATTACATGATATGTATTATTTTTATTTGGAGTAAATAGTTTGATTGTGAAGGAATCTGAAGTTCAATTTTTCCAAAAGCAATAAAATGTTTGAGCCATTATGTCTGTCTCAATGCTCCTGTGGATAAGACATTATTAAAACATTTTATAGAATGTTTTACCTTTGATTTGTTTCTTTAGCAACTTGACAGATCCCTAGAAATGAATGGCTTGTTGAAAACAAAGTCAGTTCAGAACTTTATCACTTATGTTAAGACTGAAAATGTGGAAACGTTTACTCCTATTTTGAATTGCACTATAATTCTTAATATGGAGAATTTCTATAACTGAAAAGTAAAATTTGTCATAAAAAAGAATAAAAATGCTTCTATAATCCAACGAGTTTATTTTTATTTAATGTGGCTTTGTCTATGACTAGATTGAATACAGATTTGTTATTTTAAAATATTTTTCATTAATTTTTATATAAATAAATACTTCTTTTATGTGCTATTGATGAGACAGCTGAGTTCCAAACAAAATATAATGCAGAGTATATCATGCCATCTGCACAAAACACTTCTGCATTTGTTAAGTACGGTCACTCAATGTTAGTATTGATTGCTGCCTTTCTTTAAAAATATGCTAGGTGCTCCTCTGATACAGTAAACATGCTAAACCAATGCATGAGAAACTATTATGCAACATTATAAGTGAAGGGGGCTTGATGAATGGCATATTTTCAGTCACAAAGTGGTGTAAGCTCACTTCATGTAATACTTGTTGAATCAAATACTTTAGGTTGGATAATAGAAAGAGTTGTGTCTATAACTGGCACAAGAGGCCTTTATCTCAAGGAGAGTTTTTCACACGCTCTCAGCAGAAGCTCATGCTTACTGAACTAGGTTTGGTTCTAAATTATAGCGCTAAACTGAACCTCTGCGATTGCTGAAGCTAATATTCTATAAAGGATAGTTGATAGCTCCATCACCGTTGCATTGTTTTCATTGTCATTTGTTAGTCCTCCTGGATTTGAGATGGACTCAGCCAAGGCATCTAAAGTTTAACAATTTACCTGTTATGCAGCACAGCATGGGCAGTCTTGGTTAAGGGATTACTAATCCAAAGCTTCAATATAGTCCAGGCTGCTTCCAAGGGAAATGGGTCCAAAGGGTTCTGGTGTCAGACCCAGATTCAGAAGCTGCAGCCTAAGTCAGGACAAGCCAGGGTTCAAAACTGAAGCTGGAAACAAGGTAAAGCAGAGAGTTAACAAGGATCATAAGTCAAAAGCCAGAGTTGAAGGCCAAACTATAATTACAAGCAGGGAACTGGAATCAAGGAATGCCAATAGTCTAGTCTTAATGGAGTCAGAAGCCAGAGCCAGGAGTCAAAACCAGAAGCTCAGCAAGAAAACACACAGAATTTCAGGAACAAGGACCCCCAGACAAGGCTGGGCCTGGTTTTTACAGCCTGGAGCAGGTGGAGCTTGCTGTCTGCGGGCTCAGGGGACCGACTTCTGACTGCCTCACTCAGCTCAGCTGGGATCTGGGTGCTGTTCTGCAGCTAGCACTTCTTCCAGGAATGACTTACCCCCATCTCTTGATTAGGACTGGCTGGGTCCAGGGTTCTGGCTTGGCCTCATTATGCTAACCTTCTCAGCCTAAGAAGTTATCAGTACAATGATTCTCAAGCCAAGAAGTACCTATGACTCACTAGGTCAATTTGCGATAAAAACCGTTGACCACATTTCTTGCAATGTTACTCACAGTTTGGTAGATGGGAAGTCTGTGACTTCTGCTGTTGCTCCTCCTGAGTCACACACTCTTCTTTAAGATCAGCACTATATTGCTATTGAAAATGATCAACACCCTTTTTGATTCTCACCCACCATTGCTGTCTTTCTGCAGCAAGTGATTTCTAGCTATTTGTTGGCATCTTGCTCTAAACAAGATGCAGTGTGAACAGGTCAGCAAAATGCCTTTTTGGCCAGCCTAATTTTCACTGTTTAGAATTTTTTTTCCTGAATGAATGCATTGAATTCTTCCATGACAATTTTTCTGGAACTGACAGAGACAATCTGGTCCAGATTATTCTCCTCTGTACTAAGCAATGTTGTTGCATTCGTGATAATTAGTTCACGTTCATAGTAGCACACTGCCCCTGGATCAGAGGGTTACACATCTACATTGATCTATCACTGATGCTTCTAGGAGGCATTACTGCTTCCTTACAAGACCAAACCAAACAGCACAAGTGATTCCAGAAAGGCATATTTCTTCTTCTGAAGGTTAGGGTGTTGAGGGGGAGGCTGGGACTGACCTATGGCTATAGTGTAGTTCTGGTTTCTATGGAATTCCATTGAGATTTGTTGTAAGTAGGCCAGCTCCTGCACTCTGTATGACCCAGTGTACTTTAGGCTTGGGTCATCACCTAAGAAAGCTCTGGAAGTGGAGAGTCAGGAACATGTGTGTGTCACATGCTATCTGCTGGAGGAACATGCGCAAAAGCCCTTTATGAGACCCTGTGTGGGTCTTGGTATGTGTGTGTATGTGAGGAGAGAGAGAAATGACAGGAAGGATATGAGACAGAGTGAGTGAGAGTGATGGATGGCATGAAGTGAGTGACTGGGTGAAAGGCAGAACACGAGCGGGACCACAGCGTGGAGCTGAGATTCCTCTCATCGCTGGGGATCATCGATCGCTGAGGCTGCCTTGAGTCAGGAAGGAGTCGGCTCCCTGACGATTCCCCGTCAGTTGCATGACAGTGCTCTAATAGTGCCTCCCCGATTCCGGTGTAAGTATCACCCTGCCTAGGTGGGACTGGATACTGGCTATCACTGTCCTGACACCCTGTAAGTGACCAGTAACACACACAGAAGTAGGTAAGCTTCAGATACTGGGTGAAAGGGGAGACGGCCAAATGCTGGCTGCACCTTCAATAAATAAATCTTTCTTTGAATCTCTCTGGTCTTTGATTTATAGAATTTTCACTGTGCGTTTATGCTTTTTAGTTAACTTCACTCTTGGTCCCAAAGGGTGTTAATTAGCAAACCGTTTTATTCATGTACCTTAAGCAGTTGTCTTAGTGATTATTAATTTAAATCGGTGATAGATACGGATAGGGTGATGACCCACCATACCTCTTTGGGGAGAGATCCAAGAGGAAGCAGCTGTTTGGGCCTGCTTTATAATTTGGTTTAAAAGAGTGATTTTTTCCCCCCAACAAGGGTAGTCCATCCCTTTGCAATCTACCCATTATCTATCTCTTAGTAAGCCTAGCACTTTAGAATCTCCAAATATCATATTTAAATATCGCATAAAATCATTTGCCTTTCCCAGAGCTGGTCCACAGGCCTATGAAACCCTTTAATTAATACCAATATAGTTTGCTTGTCTATTAATTAAAGTAAATAATCAATTATTGTGATTGTTGTAGAGTAACTGGCAATACTGATTTTAATCTTTATGAAAATGCAAATTAATTCAAAGAATTTAGCACAGCCAAAATTAAATAATATGCAAACATGTGAAGAAAAAAGAGCATGTTTTATGAGCTCTACCCTAGTTTTCACTCTAGAGATCTGTCATTCTTCTCTTTCCTCTACTACAGTTCCCACATCCTTCTTTTGAGTATTGACTGGACCGTAGTCTCTCACATGCGTTGACAAGCTGGAAAAATCCCAGTAGATCTTTTTCTTTACTGATATCCTTTCTTTAATGATAATATCAGGCACTTAGCAATAACTTCAAACTGTTTTCTAATTTATGAAAGCTCCCTAATTATATATTTTAATCATATTACCTCAATTTAAATTTAGTGGAATCACCTGTTTTGGATGCCTCAGTTCTAAAGCTACAAGAAAAGTCTATAAAAAAATCTGTTAGGCCTGAAAGCCTATTTTTTACTATGGAGAAGCTAGGGGAGAATGACAGAAAGACACTGTGTGAAAAATCAGAGGGATTTGGGGCATAAAGCAAGCTGAGAAAAAAAGTACAATCTGTCCTAAGTACTGTAGTGTGAAATGCTTGGTATTTAGTTAACATAAGCTTCTTCTATGTGATTTCATCTGAGCAAGCAGGCTTCTGCACTTCAGTGGATCTGCACGCGTTCAGGGGAATGCTTCCGAGGTATAAGATTCAGTAAGCACAGGCACAAATGCAGGTCTGAGACCTCAAATACCATCTTCTTGGACCAACACAGGTAAAAGTCATGCAAAAACTGAAAATTCCCAGCCATTGGTATACATTGACCTGGTTAGAGTGGTATAAACTATTTCCTAGAGAAAGGTTCAAGAGAAATTAGTTGCCAGAGAAAGGTGCTTTGCTATAACTTGGCATTAAAATGGGTGACCCATTAGACTACTGACTTAAGGGATAGATAGCTCATTTACAGCATGACACAAAGCAGCAAATAAGGCTAGTGAAGTAAGACCAACTAACTTGAAATCACTAATATCCTGAGCATGAACATCTGACTGGTCCAGAAATGGCTACAGTTTACAGTAGCAGCAATAATATATCCACACTTACAAAAAATATTTTTGCATATCTGTTGCAATTGTGTTGAATTCTCTACTTCCCACTGGAGTGAGAGAATCATGGCAGATGTCTCAATATTGACATCATGAAAGACTCACACAGATTCAGGGCATTATGATGAGAGTCTTGGGACAAACTCAGGGAACTTCCCGCTTCTGCAACTACAGAGAACTCCTCTGCAGCTGAACCAAGGAAAGTGGGCTGAGCAACAGGGGCCTGGACAGGTGGGAAGCATATGCAGGAAAGGCATGAACAGGTCAAAGGAACCCTCATCGGTCTATATAACTCCTTATGACCCTTCTGTGAAGGGAGATACATAAATGCCCTACATAGGCAACAGGACCAAATCTAGAAATGGTAAAATGGTGATTGGCACTTCGCTCCGCAGATCATGGGGGCAGTGTGGAGTTGGAGTCCCTGGGCCTGTGGTAGGCACTGGATACGGGGAAGTGGGTGGTGAACAGAGAGCATGTGCAAGGAAGAGGAGGACCTGCTGCTTTGTTTGAGGGAGCCCCAGAGATGCTCCTGTTACCTCATTGGACCAGATGGGCAGAGAAGTGGTGGTGGGGAGCAGCTTCAAATGGTGCTGGGCTCAGGCAGGGACAGTGGCAGTGACACACAAGTTCCTCCCTCCTGCAGCTGCTCCCTGTTCTATGGTGTTCCCCGTTTGGCATCAACCAGATGTTGGAAGAAGGAAACCTCCTCTCTTTGCCCCCTAAGGCCATTGTCTGTGGCTGAGCTCTATCACACCACACAGCTGCTTCATGCAGTTGGGCAGGAGCAGCTCTGCTGATGCTTCCCTCATGCCTGTGCCAGCAGGGGACAGCAGTGGTGGTATAGGGAGGGTTACATTTTC